ATTATCACAGGTCGGCTCAGATTATGAGGCTGAGAGGAAATCACCCCCCTCCCCCCCTCATAGTTCTCCTTTAAAGTGACACGAAACTCCTACAAATCCCTCCGAGTCCCCGAACTCCGAGCAACAATGTATCTTATTTGTGTCACTCGGCTGTAGGTCCTCCAATCATCTCTGACACCGTCCTTCCTTCTGGAGGGGGGCTACGTCTGTTCCCCATGCTCCCTGTGTGTGTTGTAGTCACCGCTCTAAGCTCCGCCCCCCGGGATGGACTACAATATCAATACAAATCAGTAAACTAAACGTGAGATTGTAGTCCATCCCGGGGGGGAGGGGGGGGCGGAGCTTGGAGCGGTGACTACTTTACAACACTACGACTACTGATACAAGGAGAGGGGCGCAATGTGACCCCTGCGCCCCTCTCCTTGTATCAGGAGACACAGCCGTGACACACTTCACTTACCAACACAATGTTACAACTGCAATTTGAAACTTGTCCGCCATATTTTTAACGCTCTGTCCTTGTTTAGCTACTTCCTGTTATAGGGTGACAACGCTCAGTCCTTGTTCAGGCACTTCCTGTTATAGGGTGGCAACGTTCTGTCCTTGTTCAGGCACTTCCTGTTATCGGGTGACAACGCTCTGTCCTTGTTCAGGCACGTCCTGTTATAGGGTGACCACGCTCTGTCCTTGTTCAGACATTTCCTGTTATGGGGTGACAACGCTCTGTCCTTGTTCAGGCACGTCCTGTTATAGGGTGACAACGCTCTGTCCTTGTTCAGGCACGTCCTGTTATAGGGTGACAACGCTCTGTCCTTGTTCAGACACTTCCTGTTATAGGGTGACAACGCTCTGTCCTTGTTCAGGCACGTCCTGTTATAGGTTGACAACGCTCTGTCCATCTAACCCAATTGTGCAACTGCATTGTCACCCTATCACACGGGCATCTGATGGAGACTACATGTGGCCATTTCCACACACATTACACAGACATCATCCACTGTTGTCACCATCAGGAAACCCTCCCTGGGAAATAATGCCGTGCAGCCATCACTGGAGTCATGTAGACAGGAAGTGGCTGGAATAGGCTGCAGGAGATCAGCAGCGCTGAGATGGAACAAAGGATTATATATAAGAATACAGCAATTGTTTCTGATACTCGGAGAGAAGAACAAACCAAATGTCTCTCAGTCAGAGTTTTACTTCGGCACAATGATGATATGATATGACTCCGCGGTGATAGCGATCCGTGCGGTCACAGTGATCTAGGACAGGGTCATAAATCAGCCGTCATGTGACCCGTCTCTGAGACTTCATCATTTCGGCTTTGCTCAGCAGATTTGTGACACGCTGACCAGCAGAACTCGAATTTCTCATCATAACAAAATGCTGAGCGGTGAGT